CGGGGAGGGACGGGACCCCGCGGCGTGCTGGGCGTCCCCCGCGGGAGCCGGCTGATGTTTGGCCTCGGGTCTCTCTCCGTGCAGGTGGTGGAGAGCTGCGTGGCGGCGGCGGGGTACAGCGTGGGGGAGTTCGCGGCGCTGGTCTTCGCTGGAGCCCTGGGCTTTGCCGAAGGTGCCCGGGAAATGTGCTGAACCCCCTAGTAGGATCTCCCAGCCCCATGCTTTTTCCAAAGCATCGCCTGTCACCACTGTTTCCCTCCCGCTTTTTTTTATTAGAGGATAAATTTTACTTTCTACTTCCACTGTTCACTTTAATATGTGTAACACAGCATTAAAAGCATTGACGTTCCATGAGAGTAAACAGCCACCCTTTCTTGCGCGCGGATGCAAGGCACCTTTGACGGTGTTTTCTCAGGGCTTATATTTACCGAGCATCTCTGTTTTTCTCCTTAGCGCTGTACGCGGTGAAAGTGCGTGCCGAAGCCATGCAAAAGGCGTCGGAAGCTGTCCCCAGTGGAATGCTATCAGTTATCGGTCGGCGAGAGGCAAATTTCAAATTTGCCTGCTTGGAAGCCCGTAAACACTGTGAATCGCTGGGTATAGAAAACCCCGTATGTGAAATTTCAAACTATTTGTTTCCAGACAGCAGAGTCATTGCAGGACACTTACAGGTATTGCTTCAGAATAACTATGCCTCTAGTTGAATTTAACATTTCACTTTTTAAAACTTTGACTTTGCGCTTCTGTGCGGAAGTTATGTACGGCCTTAGTTTGTCCAAACAAAAGTATTTGATCTGTGGGGGTTTTTCTCCAGCGTGTGCTCAGTTGTCGGGTAGGGAACGGAATCCCTTTATCACGATAAGTCCGATGAGGTGGTTCTTGTGGGGTGACTGAGTAAACCTGTGTCGTGCAAGACACTCACTTCTCTCTCTCTTTTATAGGCTTTGGAGTTTTTGCAGGAGAATGCCCGAAAATATTATTTTACACGTACAAAAATGCTTCCAGTCAGTGGGGCTTTTCATACCAGACTTATGGAACCAGCAGTAGAGCCACTGGCTGAAGTCCTAAAATCGATTGAGATTCAGAAACCACTGGTCTGTGTCTATTCCAATGTTGATGGCAAAAAGTACATGCACTCAAAGCACATTCAGAAGCTGTTAGTGAAGCAGGTGGTTTCACCTGTTATGTGGGAACAGACCATGCATTCTGTATACGAAAGAAAGCAAGGAACAGAATTTCCTTACACGTACGAAGTGGGGCCTGGGAAGCAACTAGGAGCCGTTCTCAAAAAATGTAATTTAAAGGCCTGGAAACAATATAACCATGTAGATGCTCTGGAAGATGAGGAAGCAGCAGACACCTAAGTAGCCTTTTGAGAAAAATCCATGCAACTTGTTTTTTCTGCCTAATTTAAAAATAACTTTGTGCTCCCAAAAGAGGAAGTCTTAAACATTCATGGCTTCTCATGATGCAAAGAGCACCGTGCGCGTAATCGCAATGAACGTTTTCCTTCCCCGTGTGCCTCAGGTGTGGAAGGGGAGAGCAAAGTCTGGCTCTTCTGCCTGTGTCAGGACTGCAAAACTGCCAATAAACACGCCAAATAGCCGCCTGTTTGGCCTCAATCCTGCAAGCAACTTCCCTTCTCTTTTTTCTTTTTTTTTTTCTTTTTTTAAATTTTTGGGGGGGTGTGTGGATCCAAGTTAAAGTCAGTAGCTTTGCCTGTCTGGTGCAGAGATCTTCTGCATGGGTACGGGGGTAGAACTGGGCTGTTGGATCTGGGCTGTGGAGGGCTCTGCGCTGGGCTCGAGGGTGCGTTTAGAGGAGCCATCCGGTTGGTACGGCTTTCGGTACGTTCGTGTTCCTGTTCTCTAACTCAACAGTTGTGGGAAGTTCGTCTGTGTAAAGTTCTTTTATTTTGTGTCCGTGTTGCTGGGTGGCAGCCGGGTAAGGCAGAAGATGTTATTAGGAACATGATTTTCTTAAGGTTAAACTATAAATAAACTATAAAGCTTTTCTTGGTATTTTTAATGCTATGGGGTGCATCATTACTGGCCTGTAGTCCACACGTGGATGGAAGTAAATTTCCCTCCAGCTGTCCCGTGCCGCATTGGTTGTGCTAAGTTACACAAGAAATGTTTCACTGCAAGAAAACGCTTAACAAAATTCTCCACCTCCCCAGAGGTGCAGGGCTTTTGTCGTCCCTGACCGAGCCGCTGAGGCTGCGTAGGCTGAACTGGCCCTTTGGATGACTTTTCTTGACGGAGCAGAAAGCAGCAGCGCTGGAAACTTAGCGGAAAGATCTTTTCGGGGGCACCTTTGGACAGGGTGAACCCTGTGGCAAGAGAGTGCCGGGGAGGAGGATTTGAATGCTGGTATTTCAGTTCTCTCTATATTCTTGACTGTGTTATGCCAGCTTGTACATTTTCTGGTGGCAGGAGACGAGCTGGACAGGAGCGGGTTGCCCCGAGCCCTCCTGGAAAGAGCTTCCCTGTTCTTTTGTCGGCACCGACTGTCGTTGGATGGGTGAGGGCTGGTGGCAGGTCCCTGGGCTGGCTGGCTGCGGGGGGAGTACCCGCTGCCTCCAGCACCTTCCTCAGCGCCTGCAATGCTCGAGGTGACACTCAAAACAGCTTTAGCACCAAATCCATGGGTTTGGATTCTGTAACCAACCTTTGGCTTATTAAAATAGGTCCGGTCGTGTTACAACATCGTGCCGCCTGTGCAAGGTACCTGCAGGGTGCGCAGAAAACGTATGCTTGCTTCCTTGCTGTGCTCTTTGTCTGTAAGGGGTACCGAAAGCTTTAGGAAATACAGGAGAACAGCATTCGCTAGGGGATCATGTACAAACAAGCGGGGAAAGGTTACGTGGTCCATATTAGAGTGTGACCAGAAGCTTCAACTGAACTCTGCCTTTTTTTCTTTTTCATTTTTGGTATTTTAATGGTATATTTAGCAGATATCTAGGAAAAATTTAGCATATATTACTTAAATCAAATGACCATGCGCGTCTTCAATAATGTATTATAAAATGCAGAGTAACTTCCAATTACAGCATTAACCATTTTGTAATGTCACATTTCTGAAAGGGAAGGTGAATTAAAAATACTGGCCTCAATTATGATTGCCTAGTGGAGCGTATTATTAAACGGTTCTTTTGCGAACTGAAATTGGCAGCTGAGCCTACCTTTACAGTACAAATTCCACTTCTGGCATGTGTAAACATTAACGATTAGTAAAATACAGAAGAATTTGTCAACTTAATCATTGGACTATCAGAGGCTGCCAGTTAAGGGTTGGGATCACTGTAAAGAAAATTATTTCAGTGAAGGCTCCTATGTTACAGGTAAGGTGTCAGTTATTCAATAAAGCGTACCAAAGTCGTCACTAGATGGTTAGAATGATGTGCTGTGTTAGAAGTTTCTGACATCTCGTAAGACCAAACGCAACGTTAGTGACTTTGAAACCAGCTTTTATGATAGTTGGAACCGAACATGGCATGTTGGTGGTGCTAATTTTGGTTTTAGTATAGTGCTTTATAGTTTCTGGACTTCTTTTTTTAATTATTCAAGGTTTTTTTGTGGAAATTTTGGAGACCTGTTTTCTATTTGCATTGTTCTTACCATAAATTTTTTTTTTTCCCTCCTCATTTCACTTTGTTGCACACTTTGCCTGGAATAAAAGCCGTTTGGGAGAAACACGCTAAACATCTCTGTCTGCAAATGCCGAATATCCGATAACCTTTGCACCTTCATCAGCTGCAGAGTGCTGAAGGGATGTCTGTATCCTAAGAGCATCGCGCTCTTGTGGGCCGTTTAATTAGTGGCAAGAAGGAACCGTAGCCACTGCGTGGGTGTTTGCTTTTCTTCTGTGCAGCGTTTGAGCCTAAGCCGGGGTAGCAAGCCGTGAGCTGCTGAGGCTGCTCCTCAGTGAGCCTCGTGTCTTCAAACCCAGACGCCAAGCGGTATTGTACTCTTGCGTTGACGTTGCAGTTTATATCAGCTAAAAAATGTGATGGAGGACTTCATACCTCTGTATCGAAAGCGTTCAGGGCTTGCTTTTGTGTAGTGCCTGGCAGCACGATGTCACGTTGGTGTATGGCTGTAAGTGAGCAGAAGGGCGTCTCGTGTTGTCAAACTCGTCTGTGCCTAGGTGGAGAGCGGCATGCGGCATAATTAAGAATCCTGGATCCTAGCACTGTTATCCGCATTTCTTTTATGCGCTTACTCATCTATCCCTTCTGCTTCTGGAAACTGAACATTTAAGACGTGCAGTCAGCACGGTTCCTTCACCTAGGAACAAGCAGAAACAGGATGTAGGGAAAAAAAAAAACCAGGTGCCATAAACTCTGTCACATGAGGAAGTGTGCAGCAAAAAAAAAAAGATAATTAAATTTGGGTCTCCTGAGTCACAGTGCAGAGCCTTAACTAAGAGGCTCTTTGCTCAGCTCTGCAGGTGAGAGGGGAGCCTGGTAATTACCGCTCGCTGTAGTACTCCAGTTTGTGCTAATTCTTGTTGCAGATGCTGTTCGTTTTGTGTTTCACTTGCTTCGTTGGTGTGACTGCATTTTATATCCTTGAGACTGTGTTTTGCTCCATACGTGCTGGATGCTGAATTTCCCCTCTCTCGTGATTCAAAATACGACATTGATTGCAAGAGCGTGAAAAAGCGGAGTCATCCCACGCAGCTCTCAGATGGACTAGGCAGCGCGGCAGTCTCCGTTTATCATCGCTCCCCTGTGCATAAAGATTATTTATCTAGAAATAACTGAAATTATTTTGTGGTGTTAAAGTGATTCAGCCAAACTTTTGGCAGTTGGTACTTTTGTTACATTGCATGCATAGATTATTTATTAGACTCTTAAGGGGAATTTTTACCCTTCACTAAGTAATAACTTTAACATATTTTCTATCACGCTGCTGTTATGGAGTTAAACAGAGCAGTCAATTCACTGATGAAACTTCGGTCTGTTTTTCGGTTATATGGGCAATTCAGCTGGCCAGCTTCTGGCCTGAGTGAGACTAAGGTTCCAGATGCGCTAATTGTGCTTTTCTGGGAAAAACTCGCATACCTGCTGGTGAAGGGCAAATCAGCTTGAGGGCATTTTGAAAAAAGGTGACACTAGAATACGTGCTGCTGCTGCTTGAACTTTCAGGGTATGCTGGAGCCGTCACCCTCTAGGTACCTTCTTTGTGTACCTTCTTCTTGCTCTGCATTTCAAGTCAAAGATATGTCAAAGTCAAATGCTTGAATGAAATAATTCTAGTTGAACCTTTCTCTTTTTTTTTTTTTTCCTTCCCCCGGAAGAATTTTTTGAGATGGGCAGTTAGGATCATAATGGGATCTGGGCACCATTCACGAAAGAGAGGAAACACATTCCTCAGCCTGCTTAAACTTGACTGGGTTCAGCATTTGTCTCCACTGAAGAAGAGAGTGGTTCAAATTCCTTGTCTGATTTAAAGCAGGGACTTGAACTTGAAACTCCAACCTCTCAGATGAGTGCTTAAACCACTAGGCCATTAAATATTGTATTTTCCTGTTTCAAAAGTGCGCTAGCCCTCGTAGCCGCTTGACTAGGCAGGAAGCAGGTATCCCCTCTGCTGAGGGGAATACCCAAACCACAGAGATGCGCTTTCATTTTCTCTCGCTCAGAGAGAGTCTGTAACTGTATACAGTGAAAAGCAGCTTCAACAGCAAAGGGTAGGGAAGATGCACCCAGATACAGAGAATACCTTGGTACGGTTGGGGCATGTTGTCGAGACAGAAGAAACCCAACCGTGTCCGAAGAGCTGCCCGTGGAGTATGCAAGGGTGACACCGACACCATCTCCGTCTTGTAAGCTGTCCTCAAGTTTCCCTTAGTCATTTATTTCCCCCTAAGCACATGCCTTCCAAAAAGACGTGTCATCAAAAAAACCCTTTTCCAAATTCAATCAAATTCTCGTTTTTTTCTGGGCAGCTTGAAGTTTTACTTTGAAAAGAGGCAGAAGAATATAAAATCTATTAGAGGATTTCTGAAAAATTCTGGAAAAGTAATAGCTTGGCTTGAGTGGCTCTCAACTACCAACCCAACCAACTTGCTTGCTAGCTCATCCTAGCCCCTCTTTCTCCAATAAACTATCATTTCATATGCTAATTTTACTACATAAAAATCAAATAAAGCCTGTCCTCTAGGCTTAGATAACAGTACCTTGTCTCGTACATTTTGTTATTAATGTGTGATAGCAAAATCTTGGAAAATAAAGTAGATAACACTGCAAAACATTTGAAGCAACAGTTTAATTTTAGAAAAGTATCATGGTTTTAATCTTTACTATTGCTTTTACAGTGTTAAAATTTAAAGGATGTCCAGCATGCCTTCAGTCTTCCCCACATCCCGAATCTCTTTAAGAAACTTGTTTATATGTGATAGACAACTTTATATTGCATTAAAACAAACACAAAAAAGACAGACTTTCTAATCACCTGGAGTCACATTTCAAAACTAGCAAGTCAGGCAGTTATCCAGCAACAACCTCCTTATTTTAAACATTTTTCTTTTTTAAAAAAGGTACGAAACAGCAGTGACCCAGCACTAGCCTAGGTTTTAAATATAAAAGAGATTTTTATCAGTGTAAATTTGAAAAACAAACCAACTGCCACCACCCGGGTGCTAATGATACTGGTCAGAGTCCAGCAATGACCTCCCATTGTAATTCTGTGTGTTAAATCTGCAGTCCATAATTCATGGCCCACCAAAAGGCAGCAACAAGCAAGGCTGCAGGCACCAGCTTCTGGCAGACGCACCTGAAAGGAAGCCTGCAAATCTGCGGGAAGAAACGGGAAGGTAATTAGAAATAACCAGCAGCAAAAAGACGGTGCAGAATGTGAGGTCAGTGTGAAATGGGGAATATAGTCCAGTTCTGCGGAAACGCACGTCGGGGTCTAGTTTTGCTGGTGGCTACTGCGACTGCTGCAGTGGCAGGGTCACATCCAGCCTCTAAATAATCTCTCTTCTCTGGGGTAAACACAGGGTAAA